AGAGAGAGAGAGAGAGAGAGATTAAGCGACGACTAATAAATAAAACGAGTGAACTAGAAAATCAGTTCGATTCGGATTTATGCCATCAATTGAGGCTATTTTTCTACTTAGGCAATTAATTAAGAAGTTTAGGTGGAATGGAAGAGATCTCCACATGATCTTTATTGATTTAGAGAATGCATATACTTAGAGAGGTAATTTAGCGGGTGTTGGGAAATGAGTCTCTATAGGATATATTGATATGATGAGAGATGTATGCGAGAGGGCTAACTTGGGTTGGGACAACTAGTAGAGAGATAAGTTAGTTTTCAATGATAGTATGCCTACATCATGTATAAGTGTTGAGCCCAATTCTCTTTATTCTAGTTGTAGATGAGTTAATTAGACACCTACAGATGCGTACTTTAGTGCATGTTAGTGGATGGCATAGTTTTGATTGATAAGACTAGAGACGATATCAATGTAAAGTTAGAATTTTAAAGAGATGCAGTAGAATCTAAATGTTTTAAATTTAACTGGACAAAGGCAGAGCATATGGAATGCACATTTAGTAATAATTTTAATAGAAACAACGAAGTAGTGAAGATTGATGACTAATAAATACCTAAAAGAGATTATAGATGCTATGCGGGGTTGATAATCTAGGAGAATGGAGAGATTTAGGAGGATTTCATACGTAAAAATTAGAGTTAGGTAGGCGAAGTGATGTGCAGTTGGACTTTTATATGACCATTGCATACTACTGAAACTAAAAGAAAAGTTTTATAGGATGACTGTATGACTAGTTATATTTTATGGGATGTAATGGTGGGTGGTCATGAAATAATGTATCCATAGGATGAGTGTAGTTGAGATGATGATCTTGGGATGGATCAATGAAATTATAAGAAATGATAGAATTCAAAATGAATACCTTCGAGGGAACTTGGGGTTGGATCCAATAGGCAACAAGATGAGGGAAAGTAGAATTAGGTAGGTAGGCTGGCCATGTGCAATGTAGACTTAATACAACACCATAAGAGCGGTGATTTGGTTCAAGTAGAAGGCTTTGAATGTGCACGGGGAATGCTCAAAAGGCCATGAATGAAAATCATGAAAAGAGATGTGGTTACTTATTATTTAACTCAGGATATGGCTCTAGATGGAGCAAAAATGATGGAATATGATTTATGTAGCCGACCCTAAATAGTTAAGATAAGATTCAAATAATGATGATGATTAATTTCCTTCTTGGCATGTTTGTCCAACCCCAAAAATCATATTTCAAACTCTGAACTCTAAAATGAATAGCAAAAACATGATTATGAACTTGGAAAACGCCCAAATACATAATAACCTCTAGAATTTGAATTTCTATTTTGATGTACCTTGTGCTCCATATCATTTTTACAGCTAACTTGATTGTTATTTTTTGGGAACTCAACTCAAGCTGCATTAAAGATGTTTTGAGGAGATTTCATCTCACTCAATCCCTCCAAACTAGGTATGAATTTGAACACAGGACAACGGCACTTAATAACTAATGAAGAAGGATACAAATAGAGAACAATCATTTTTATTGATTTGATGCGAAATTCGGTAGCTACGAGTGGAGATTGAATTGGTTCAAACTTCAAAGTTTAAATGATTTTTTTTCTTGTCATAATTTTAAATTATTAGATTTCACATCTGACGGCTAAATATAAATT